GTCGGCTCCGAATACATATTTCAAATTAGGAGAGTATTTAGAATTCTATAGATGCATTTTAAGTGTAGATTCATTCATTTTGCTCCGTATGTAGTTCATCCAGTGGAATCTCTACAAAGACTTACATTTAGGAACGGAGGGAGTATTATTCTTTTTTTAACACAATACAAACGGTGCATATACTCACTTCTATAAACCCACTCACTCACACGCTATCTTTATGAGTATCTCCGAGGGACCGAGTCGACACGCCATCTTGAGATTGACCAAGTCATCACATGGATCTCCGTAGTTGACGGAAAAGACTCAAATAAATTCAAAAAAACGCAAGCTCCAATGCCGACTGCCGAATCTAGGACTTTGAACTCCGATGAGCCGGTTCCATCGTAAAAACTTAAACCATATGAGATAGGCTCGATTCGCAGTTGGATTAGATTATTCGGTTACGGTTGGGCAACTTGTTGAGTGAGATCCCAGCGGAGCCTCGTCGAAACTAAGCAATGATTGCCATCGCTGCATGCATGCTTTGGTAGTTGGTGCCGTGAGCTGAGCACGATCGTTAGCCTAAGAAAGAAATCGGCGTTAAGTAGCCTGCTCGTGCGTCTGTGTTCCTACGAGTTTCAATTCCTACACGGTGCTCCGCAGCACGAAGACGCGGTGGGGACAAGGACACCGGCGGCGTATGCATCGACGGAAATGAGGAGCATGTATCACGTGCTGCTGTGCAGCTAGCTACTCGTACGGTGCGGCTGGCATGAAAAGGTCACAATAATTCTGGCTACAAAGCAGCACACGACATGCAACAAAAATTCCAGTTCCAGATCCCATACACACCATATAGGAACAAGAAGGCGAATTCCACGGTGAATAGCTGCGATAATCAAGGGCGTCTTCGTCTTAATGCGCTAATTAAAAAGAACCCTCATACATGATCGGCGAGGTTAAGAAAAAAAAAGTCTCCTTTACTTCAATTTTCAATTGTTTACGCTCCTCTTGATGCCCCACCGACAATCGAGCAAACAAAGGTGTGACGTATGAAATTGTTTGTGCAATCTATTTATGACATTTCGAACAATACTTTTTAACATTTTACGGTGTATTTTGCAGTCCACAATTCTACTCTGAACGATGCCTTTAACATAGTCCTCACTCGTCACCACTTCATGCTTACACCTAGAAACATACTTCTTTGGCACACACCTTTAACTGAGCTGACATTGACGACACCTTGTTTTGTCTCGGTCCAACACAACCACATTCATTGTGATGCAAAGGTTGAACTAAGGAGGTCGCTGATACCTCAAGGTTCCAAACATGCATGCGTACATGTTTGTCTAGTGTCCCCATTCCCTGCGGGCATAGCTATCACCACTCTTACCTCGCTCGACCTTAAGTGTTGTCAATGATG